ATCCAGGAACGATGACTCGGGCATCAAAAGTGAGCTTCCCCAGGAGGGACTCGAGTTGACGCTGGTCGATGCTGCGCTCGCTGATAGTAGCCATGAATGGTGCACGGATCTCGAACAGCTTGTCCTCTGGTAGCCGAGCTTCATGGCGCTCACAGTCTAGGGAGGTCAATGATGGTGGTGGCCCTTCAAGCTTGTATGTAGCAAGAAGGAATGCCGAGATACGTGAATGCCCGAAGGGGGATGGTCAGTTGCTGGTTGGCTGCAACCAAACCAGTGGAGATATCAAGAAAGTCATCGAGGTAATGAAGGTGGTGATCTATAGCAAACTGGTGCTGCATGATCCTGTTGACTGCTGTGGCTACTGAGTCAAAGATGGCTGGGCTGGAGCGAAGGCCGAAAGGCAGAAAGCGCTCATAGTAGTTGGAGCCTTCCCAGAGAAGTCTTGACGGCGGACTGTGATCTGCCCAAATGCACTGCGTACATCGAGCTTGGACAAATAACCCGACTGTGGGCATGACATGATGATGTTGATCGCGTTGTCAATACTCACGCAGAGCAGAGAGAGTGGCTCGGCACAAATGCTGTCGTTCACGCCGATGCCCTCCGGATTGGACAGATGGTGGATCATTCACAGCTTGCCGTTTATTTTGGGGACGGCACCAATTCCAGCGCATGAACTGAAATGTAGGTAACGGAAATGGGCCTGTGGTCTTGCTGCAAGCGCAGGAAGCAGTTAATTGCTCAGAAATAAATGCCGGCTGAGTGAAAGCCGTGGGTAGATTATTAGAGAAAACCGAAATGTCGTGTTTGCCGGCAGATACAAGAGCAAAACCATGATGCAGGGCATGGAGAACATACGCAACACATGATTGATCTGGGTGGTTACGTGACAGGCGGGCAAAGTGGTCAGCTAGCAGTGTGATGTCTGCAGAGTATATAGGGAAGAAGCTACGTACCGAGTCAAACGATTCAGTAGCCATTCTGCTAGGAGCGGCGGGGTGGCCGATTGGCTCTGCGCTGCTGCTGGTTGCACCTGATGCATGGGTGGTCCTTGCCACACTGGCTGCATGTGTGGGAGAAGCCGCACGACGACGAAGAACAGCGACCTCCGTTGACGTTGCTTCAGATTTTGTGGCCGTCGCTGGTATGGGTGCGACCACTGGAGGTACATGCTGCTGGCTTGGGGAATTGAGATTCGGGACGAAAAGCAGCGTCTTACATTGAGCACGTTTTGGGTGTGTCTGGCCTGTGAAAGCTATCAGCCATAGGTTCACTTTGACGTTGTTCAACCTCTTCGTGCCTTGTTACTGGGCCACGAGCATCCACAGCTGGCGGTCGTACTCTAGCCACGCGCTTGGGAAGAACTGGCGGTTAGCAGTGAGGATCAACTGCTGGTACGCAATCAGTTCAGTAGATCAGCAGTGCAGTGTGGGGCAGCAGCCGTGATAGCAGACATGTATGCGGTCCATGCCTCTCGCGCCGGGTAGCAATATCGTGAACCTTGCGATGCATCTGCTTTGCGTCATCCGACTCAACGATATTTAGCTTGCCATCGTTATTCGGGCTGTGCACCAGCCAGAATGTTGAGCCGGAAGTGTTGGCGGCTGACAAAGCCGACTACACCTCGTCCCGTACGAGAGCGCAGGGATCCGTTGAGCTCGCATGACCTGAGCTGGCGGAGGAGGCATTGGTGCCAGTCGGGCTTCAGGGCTCGCGAGCCGTGTCCGCGCTGTCATGTTGCTGGTTCTCCTGGCCAGAGCATATCTCACTACCAAGGGCTGGTTGTGGCAGCAAACGGTCCTATAAAATACTTTTACTCAGTTTCCTTTCGGATTCAAGCCGCGCTGAGAAAGCTGGCCGCGGAGGGCTTGGCAATGCATTGCCTTGACAGTGTCGACAGTTAGGTCAGACATACTGAAGAAATAAAATGTCGAGGTGACACTCAGGCTGGCAGCAAAGCTATGAAAGGAAAAGAAACACTGCTGAAGCACGATCCGTTGTCTGGAGGAGCACCACAAAGAAACACTGCTGAACAAGGATCCGTTGTCTGGAAGAGCACAACAGGGCCAGCAAGATTTGTTTTTCTTTTGAGCAAAATGGGCTGGTGCCATTTGTGATTACGCAGCAAAACAAAGCGCATGACGTCAGTCTTGAATGCAGTACAAAGCAATGCAGTGCAGTGTGTGTGCTAGTTCGGATTGTTGCTAACAAGTACTAGCACAGCTAGTACCCCATTAAACTTGCTCCCTGGCGATGAGAGGAGTGTTGATGCTTAGCAGACAGTAGAGCGAGGTCCAGTCTAGCATGTACGGCCGAGTGATCACTCAGAGTACAGGGTATGACATTGCAGGAGACTGTAGCAGGGCTACTGGTGAGGATCAGGTCCAGTGTCGTGCTGGCTGGACATCTTGGGGTTACTAGTATTCGGGTTGGGAAAGAGTCTAGATTTATCAAACCGAGAGAGAGCGAATTCCAACATTGAAATGGTGGAGCTGGGGTGTTGCAGCTGAGCTAAGATTAATGTTGAAGTCACCAAACAGGGTGACATAGGGTGATACCAATGAAGCCCGGTGAAGAGCCTGCTCAAATCTGTCCTGGTAATGAATGATTCAGCAGGGGGGGGGGGATAAATACACGCAAAATGGTGCCTCTGTCTGGAGTGGGGCAGACTAATCCACACGCTTTCAATACCATCCACCTTCAGATCTTCAGATCTTCAGATCTGGCTGTATGGTGACAGGAAGAGTAGCCCTGTAATACAGGCACACACCTCCGCCGGGATGGCCGGCTCGATCCAGCCTGGCAAGGCTTTATCCAGATATATTGATCTCATTGTTAGCTACTGTGTTGGTGAACCAAGTATCGGCCACACCGAAAATGTCCCAGTCCATCGAATGCACCAGGTCCGACAGTTCATGCATTTTTGTAGCGTAGACTACAAAATTAATGTTGAGGAATGCAGTGGTCATATTTTGCTCCGATGTTGCAAGCACTGTTCTTGTAACAGTGGGTTGGAATGCTTTAGCGTTCGGATTTAGAGGAACTAGGGCATGAGGAGCGGAGGTTGTCGGAAGATGGTACTGTTGTCAAGTTAACTTAGCACTCAAATGTTATTCGTTGAATGTGACCTGTGCGCCACTGTTATCCGTATCTTCAGCACCTGAAACTTCGTCACGCTCAGCTGCAGTGGAGAAAACGTTGGCGAGTTTGGCAGCCCGGGGAGTTGCTGGGAATGTATTCTTCCCTGATGCCATGGTGAATCCATCTTTGTCAGTGTCAGGTGAGTGATGAGGTGCCTTCCGCTCAGGTCATTTTGTGTTTATTTCATCTGGTTTGACACCAGAGGAAAGCAACAGCCTAATAAAAAAGGCATGGTCCTGGGAATGCTGCCACTCGGCTGTATAGAACATACTCGAGACACATCTAACAGGTATACATACACACAGGATTGAATGATTCCGGAACGCCAAAAACTTCATCCACTCGCCAGCTGGTGTTGGGGCTGCTGGGGTGGCAACATCCTCTGTAGAAGGTGATGTGCATCTGGACAATTCATATTGTACAGGTGGCAAAAGAAGGTTTCTTCACCGATTAGGCGATGGCCAACCCGTTGGATGAGTTGAGCCAGAGTGGTTTGTGCAGGGCTCATTCACACGGCCATGCCATTCTCCACGACCGGGGGGTTCTTGTAGATCACACAATGGCACATGGGATCCAGCACTCAAGACGGTTTCCGGATGAAGCCGAGATGCTGCGATTCTCGAAGTGCCAACGTGGAACTATTTACCAGATCTCTTCAAAACATTGGAATTACGAGCACGTTTCATGTGACGCAAGTAACTCATCAAATGTTTTCCAGGCTGATGAAGCAAAGGGCAACTGCTCATTATGTTGATAGGACAAACCTTAGGCTCTTCAACAACATTCATAATAATCTAATGGTTATGCGAGTAAACTTCTGTACCTTTTCCTCAGGTGCTATACAAGCAAGAGCAAACTAGAGCAAATACAATGAATTATGTACAGCAATGAGGTGATAAAACCGGGTCAAAGTAGAGTAGCTAAAAACAACGGTGATAAATGCATGACCAATATACATCATGCATATCCATAATTCATTGTTCTTGCTCTCGTTTGCTCATGCCGCTATATCCCCTTGTTGATGAGGAAAGAGACAAAGTACGGGAGAAGTCACATTTATAAAGAGAAAGCACGAAAGTTTACTCGTAAAAAACATTAATTTTCATAATGATCATGAACAGCCTGAAGTTTGTGCTACCACTTAGTATTATAGCATAATTATTTGAATCGCACGAAACCTTTTGTGGACATAATTTGTAACAAAATTGCCAATTGTGAATTTCTAGCGTAAAACAGACCCACAGGCATGGTCAATACCCACTGAATTTATTCACCTGCATAATTCTTCTTTCTACTCATATACAAACAAGAATGCATCACAGATAATAATAATTATGAACAATATCAATTGTGCACTCATAACCATGTATAAACAATTAAAATAAAACAATTCCAGAACGTTTTCGTGTGACCATCATCAGTGGAACATCGTCACAGAGTAAGAATCACTAAAACAACCAGTTATATAGCTACAGTAATATGAAAAGAAGCGTGAGAATGCAGCACAGCTAGCGGTTTTGCATAACGCGTGTAGTGTGAACCTTTGCAGTGTATCTGAGAATGGTAGCAGTACCATTCTCAGATAAACTGCAAAGGTTCACACTACACGCGTTATGCATAACCGCTAGCTGTGCTGCATTCTCACGCTTCTTTTCATATTACTGTAGCTATATAACTGGTTGTTTTAGTGATTCTTACTCTGTGACGATGTTCCACTGATGATGGTCACACGAAAACGTTCTGGAATTGTTTCATTTTAATTGTTTATACATGGTTATGAGTGCACAATTGATATTGTTCATTGCTATTTTACGACTGTTGTCTCCTCGTCGGTTATTTAAATAATAATTATGACTTACATTATTCTTTGGTTCCAACGAATGTCCAGAAGTGAGAAGATATTCTACTACAGAAACATGACCATAATATGCTGCATAATGTAATGGTGTGTCACCATTCTGGAAGTAGCAGCAAAATTAAGGACAAGACATGTACACACATACCCCATACATACACATGTTCATGCACACACACACACACACACACACACACACATGCACGTGCACACACACACACACATCCCTAAACACATACGTAAACACAAACACACACACACACACAGACCTCAGACCTCAGACCTGCCCATCGCAGAAGCAATGATAGCGAACAGCTACGTAGGGGCCTGTCCAGACTAGGTAGAAAACCACGTAAACACGCCATAAACATGCTTGTTGCCAAGGTGAGCGGCGAAAATGGCGCGAAATGCGGAACGTGGGAATCACGCGAAACGTGAGTCGAGACCCCTGTACAAAGCACGTTTCTCATCCATGTGCCGTTTTTGCAGTGTAGTGCAGTTGTGTTTGTTGTGTGAGAGTCTTCTCCGGATTGCAAACGGCGAGTACACGACATCGCAACATGGCTAGAGGGCTGGACCTTGTACACGGGGGTTGTCTGTACTCTCGCACCACACTGTCTCCACGAATTGTTGGTGTACCAGTCCTTCATTCTCAAAGCTAACCGCCAGTATCTGCCAGCTGCTTGGCTCAGCTATGACCAGCAACTTCGGCTGTCAGCCTCGCTCCAGCCAGGCAAGCGTATTGACATTATCGACAACAAACTGAGGCAGCTATCCGCCACGGGTAAGGCTAGACCAGCATGTCCAGTGCGCCACACTGTGCACCCTCCGTCCAGTCAGTGTCCTTTTCGTCTGAACAGAAGCCCCCAGCAGTATCAGCACGGGTCGACACTCACCCGTTTTGAGAGCGGCCGAATCATCTGCCGTAACTTAAATCCAGCCAGTGTCAGCACAAGTCGTCCTGCCGCTTCCTCCATGTCTGCAACACATGCGGTGGCAACCATTCCCACCAGCAGTGCCCCAAGGCTGGGACCAAATCCTGAACCACTTCTCAGTAAGGTCAGCAACTCCGATAGTTTGCCTTCAGCCACTACTCCCCACGCTTCCACATTCCGCTCACCTTTGTATGTTACCCGCTTTTCTTGCTGGCCATCTACCCACCACGATCCACAGTTTTCACGATATGTTCTGCATGGCTTGCATCATAGCTTCGATATGGCTTTTCCATTGATCGTATTGTTAACGTTAATTCTCCTAATCTCCCTTCCGCTGCTATACACGCTCAGTTTATATCAGACCAGTTTCCTGCCTCCTGTAGTCGAAAGGAAACTGCTGGGCCCTTAACTTCACCCCCTTTCTCGTTCATGCATTACTCGAGTGTTGGTGCAGTGCCAAAGAAAAACGGCAAAATGCGCATGATCCACCCCCTGTCTAGCCGCTTCGGGACGAGTGTCAATGATGGCATACATACTGATATGAGCCTGGATCAGCAAAAACCATCACATGTGCAAAATTTTCGAAAAATATTTTTGTGCTCCAAATTGATCCACAACCACTGATAACCAGTCTCAAGAAATTTTAGATCAATCACAGCACCGTAAGTGACCAAAAAATGCGGTACACCACATCTCTGTACAAATGTTGGAAGTGGCATTTCTGTGTAGAATGCAAGTATGAGCGTTGGTATGTGTCTGATCCTGTTAGGCATTGCCATCACTCAGCCGGCTAACAAGGAGGAATTTTATAGTCCTTGGGGGTGTACTCAGACACTGGCTCGTCCAAGTAAATCATTGGCTTCACTGACTATTGCGCAGCTAACGGCATATGGCCAAGTTCCAGGGGCTGATATTGCATCCACACCAGGCTCAGTACTGATGCTCTCCAAGCCCTTCACTTCCATGAAACATATCTGCACACACGGAGTGCAATCACAGCAGCTGTGACTACTTAGCACACAGGCTCATGAGCATGAGGTACGTACTAGGTGCAGATACATTCAACGGTTACCTGACCCTACAGGAACATATTTTTTTGAATTATTTTGGGAGCTGCTGCATGGACCAAATAAATGTTTCAAGTAACAATGCTCAGTGTCCAAGCCAACGAAGCAGATCTTGTCTGGCGCTAGCTCTCGTTGCTCTTCCAGTCGTGAATCGAGACGCCTTTGCTCTGCATCGTCACTGTCGATATCCGACAAACTTACTAGTGAAGGAGTCGTTCATCGCTCAACAATATCCACTCGAGTCGTTGTCATTCTCATCAGCGCTGCTTTCTTCTACACGAAGTCTGCAGCCTCGCCGAGTCGCTTTGCGGGAGGAGAGAGTCGTCCTCTGGAGCTCCGCGGCTTTCACCTGACTCCCTTGATGAGCAATCGCCATCCCAGTCATCACCAAAAAATGTCGTGTCGTGATTGGCGTCAACGACGATCGATGCGCGTGCGATGCTCGCGCCCCGCGATCGTACCTATTTTTTTATTCGCCAGCCAGCTCAGGTACGTGGGGTTTCCCAGCCGTGTCTCCTCACTTGCCTGGGGCTCGCCTAGCTAGCTAGTCACTGACAAACAAACAAACACGGGCTTGTCAGGCGGAAAGAAAGACTAGTGACAAGAAAGACAGAAAGGTGGTGGGTAGTGTTAGGTCCGCGACTTTTCTTTCGCTCGGCTTCAACGTCACTTTTTGATCAACTTGATATCAAACACAAGCGATGGTTTTCGCTGATCCGGGCTCATATATTTTTGATGCAATATGTTACTATTGATGATGACATCAATATGATCATGTCTTTCCCCCTCCAGTTCACCTGTCAAAACTGGATGTCAAGAGCGCCTTCAGGCAGATCCCAGTACGCATCAAAGATTTCCTGTTGCTTGGAGTTTTTTTGGCAAGGCCATTACTATTACGAACAAGTGCTGCCTTTTGGTTTGCGCTCTAGTCCCTTCATTTTCAACACCTTTGCTGATGCTATTGAATGGATCATAAAGCATCATTTCTCCATAAGTGATCTTTTACATTACTTAGCTAAAATGACTTTCTGAATGCCATTTCTAGCCTTTTTGTTGCTAACCGCCAGCTGGCTATCTTGCTCAGCGCAATCATGCTTTTAGGCGTACCGCTAGCCCCAGACAAGATAGAGGCCCCTCTCAGTGTCTTACATTTTTTGGAATAGAGTTGGACTGCGTTTCCAAGCAAGCCAGGCTTCCATCCGAAAAACTGACTGAGCTCAGATCTCTGATTACTGCCACCCTCCAGCGTAACTCTATTTCTCAGCGCAGCATCGAGTCACTTTTGAGAAGCTCTCCTTTGCAGCACGGGTAGTCGTCCCAGGGCCCACATTTCTTCGAGGGCTCTGGTCGGTGTGCACCAGGTATCAAGAGCCCCACTACAAGATAGTACTGGACTCTGCTGCTGTGGAAGATATCAGGTGGTGGTAGCACCATTTATGCCAGGGCATCATTTCCAGGCAAAATCTGAAGATTATGGCAGACATCATGCGAGCATGATCCGCCAAGGGCTACCTGTGGCTCCTTAAACAAGGGTTTAATGTGAAGCTTTCGGAAACCCCCTAGAGGTGACCCTGCATACGCGCCTGGAAGGTGGAAAAGATTGTGCCACCATCAACCGTTGTGATCAGACATGTCAGTGTTGCAGAGAAAGTGGTCAACATTGACTTTATGAAGCCAGACTCAGCTCCTGTATTACCGGACACTGCGGATGTCCACAGCGCTCAGCCGAGCCCTGCCGTGAGTGATAGCGAGAGTGACGCTAGTGATTGTGGGGCCGTCGGCCTGGAATTTGACGACGGAGTCCCACTCTATGATCTCTGTGCCCTAGCTAGCCGTCGACGCCCAATGAGATATTGTTCCTGAGTAGTGGTGTCTGAAGGGAGAGGTGTAATTGATTGACCAAGTAACTGTCGACGCCATCTCATCTCTCTCTCTCTCTCTCTCTCACTATTCCTTTCTTGATAACGAACATATTTACTGTCGATCACTACGTATCAATTCTTGTTGAGCTTTGTATCATTAATTCGCGCTGTGTTCGTGACGTTCTTCCTTTTTCCAGTATTATTGTGAGTGCACACGATGACATAGGTCGCCACTTTGTCCGTGTTATCTTGGTGCGCAAGCCTTTCTCCTTTTTTCTACCTCTTTTAATTTTAGTTCTTCTTGTGCAAAAGCAAGTAACTAGTCCAATGTCGAGTGAGCTGGGAGTGTTGCTTGTTGACCAGTGTAGACCGGGTAGTACACAACAACACCAAACATAATAATAATTATTCCCATAGCTATGCAAAAGAAGTTACATCAGTAATGTCTGGCGCTAGCCAGGGTCCACACAGCTTTAATTCCCGTAGCTATGCAGAAGGCGTTACTTCAGTTACGCCTGGCGCTAGCCAAGGTCCACACAGCTTTAATTGTGTGTTTGTTTATTTGTGTGTTTGTGTCACACCTGGAGCTATCCCGTATCTGTCCCGTATCTTTCCCATATCTGTGACTACAAAGGCTCTGCAGGATTGTACATAACAGCTGTCCACAATATTTGCTGGCTTCCGTATCTGTCCCGTACGGTACCAATATTCGTCGTATTATGTATACAACTCCCTGATGTAGACGGAGATTTGGAAAGAAATTGAGAGACGAGCAAGAAATTAAATTAGAATAGACGCCGAATAGGTGATAGGATGCGTCAGCAAAAACATACTTGGGAAGAGAGATCCCGTCGTCTCCAAAATAAGCGTGAACGGGTAACTCAGCGCCGGTCACAGGGAACGTCGAAAGAGAGATCCGGTCGAGTCCAGAACGCCCGTGATCGGCAGAGTCAGCGCCGGTCACAGGAAACGTCAGAACAAACATCCCGTCGACTCCAGATCGCCCGTGATCGGCAGAGTCAGCGCCGGTCACAGGAAAAGTCAGGACAGACATCCCGTCGACTCCAGAACGCCCTTGATCGGCAAAGTACGCGCCGGTCACAGGAAACGTCAGGACAGACATCCCGTCGAGGCCAGATCGCCCGTGATCGGCAGAGTCAGCGCCGGTCACAGGAAACGTCAGGACAGACATCCCGTCGAGTCCAGAACGCCCGTGATCAGCAGAGTCAGCGCCGGTCC